GTAGTTTCTGTAATACATTGTAGATAGTGTCTGAAGCGGGAGACAGGCAGCAGCCTCTTACAGTACGAGCTAGATGGAGGGATGTTATCTCGCATTCGACACGCCAGACTGAAAACACATGGTGATTCTTGCCTAAACCGCTTCCCGGCAGTGCAATCTGCATACAACCGAATCCAAACTATCCCTCTCGCAGGTACACGCCTCAGCGTGCTGCAGTTGCGCCGTCAGCTTTTTCGGTTGGTTATAGTGGTGTTCTTTCTTTTTAATCCACATTCTTCAAGCTTGGACGGGTTGTTGAAACATTCACAAATCCAAGAAAAACCCTAAAAAAAGCTTACTTTCCTCGAGAAAAGCAGGCCCTCACGCCGACACACACTCTATATATATATGTATGTACAACATATATATACATATATACACACATACATATTCGGGGAGGGGGGGGGTTCTACCCTCCAGGGTCTTTCGTCTTCTTTTCTAGTTGTTATCCGAGTAGCATAGTCTTTGGGACCTCAGAAAGAGTCTTATTTAGAGAACTATCCATATACTCAGCCACCCACACTAGACAACCTGGAGCCCGACAGCCGCACAAGATGCCCACTAGATTCCTACAAGCCCGCACACTCTAAGCCCGCCTAGTGGCCTCTGATCCAAAAAAGACCCCGGTCAGCCGTGGGATGGAAAGCTGCTAGTCTAGATATCTTTCATTCTTCTTCAGTCAACAGCTGAGCCTGTGCCTGTTTGGCAAGCAAACACTCTAGAGTGGAGCAGGACACGGCAAGCTGGGCGACCCAACTCCTCGTCTTGTACCACTACAAATATCAGCCTCACCACCACCGAGGTCATCATCAGCCCCGTAGCCCGTGTCATCATCACTGTCACCGTCGCCATCAGCACCAGCACCCGCACCAGCACCCGCACCAGCACCAGAGCACCATCAGAATCAGAATCACCATCATCAACAACATCACCAGCATCAGCTTCAGCTTCATCACCACCATCATCATCATCGACATCATCATCAGCATCAGCATCTGCCTCTATCGTCGCCATCGCCATTTCCTGTTGGTGGGTTTGCGTACGGCTTCGGGTATAGGGCTCCAATACCGACCCCAATTGTAAAGAAGAGGTCCAAAACCTGGTTGTCATGGGACTGTGGTGGGAGGGCGATTCTGGTTCAACACGTAAACTTGCGAGTGCAGCAGAACCCGGCCACGGGCACTGCAAAGGTACAGCAATCCTTGGTAAGAGCCCAGGAACCCTAAAATCCTAGACACTGAAAAATTTACTTCGCCCTACTCTGAACCCTGAAACCTGAAACCGCTGCTTTAGCCTTGTTCGGTTTACCAAAGCCTTTTGGCCTAGGGTCCTCAACTGCGAAAGGTTAAATTTTTGGGAGTCACTAGTGGCAAGGCATGTCGGGTTTTAAGGTTTTAGAGTTTTTTGTTGAAGGTTTACGGTTTAGGGCTTTTGGGGCTTAGGGTTCAGGGCTTAGGGCTTACATCAAGCCCTATGAACATCAGCAGATCCCCCACACGTAACCAAACCAAAGCGATCTGAGGCCTAAATCCAGACATGAATACCCAGCAGCCGGAATCTAAAACTTCAAGCACCCTGACACCCAAAGCTGAAACCTTCTAATTCCTAAAGCCTATAAACCTTGACATCCTAAACAATGCCTGTTTCCGTGCCTGCACTACGTCGTTCTGGTCGTGATTTCACGGCCCTTTTCCCTGGGGCAGAGCGCTCCAACCAGGGATGGTGGATGGCCCCGGAGGGCTTTGGGTACCAAAAGGAGGATCAACAGCAACACTTAGAATTTCAGGGGGTGGCAAGCTAAGAGGGAACAATCACAAAACAGGGGCTAATGGCGCCTTAAAAGATCTTGGCTATAATGGTAGTGTTGCTGAGACGGTTTTAGACTCGTTCTAGTAGCGAATCGCCCGTGGCAGTCATGCAGGCAACACATCACAATGGTAATTTTCGATATATATGTGTATATATATATATATTATAATATAATATATATAATATATATATAATATATATAATATATTTTTTTGTATATACACATATTGATAAGGGCAACGATAGTCGCAGTCGTTGTGATTGTAGCTAACGCTGAAGGTTGTCGCTGTCCTACGAACATTCATAGTTTAAACCGTACCGCTTTGGCAAATGAAGCTAAGCCCTAAACCCTACAACCCTAAACCCTAAACCCTAAAACCCTAAAACCCTAAACCCCTAAACCCCTAAAACCCCTAAAACCCCTAAAACCCTAGAACCTTAAACCTTAAGGCCCTTCGCCTTCCCTCTCTAAGCCCGGGAGCTGGGGAGGTTTCAGGAGATTTCGGGGGCTCAGAGGGCTCCTGTAAGGGTTCCTTGAAGGGTTTACGGTTGTGAGGGGTTTAGGGTTGTGAGGGTTTAGGGTTTAGGGTTGTGAGGGGTTTGGGGTTGTGAGGGTTTAGGGTTTAGGGTTTAGGGTTGTGAGGGGTTTAGGGTTTAGGGTTTAGGGTTGTGAGGGGTTTAGGGTTGTGAGGGTTGGGTTTAGGGTTGTGAGGGTTCCTTGAAGGGTTCCTGTAAGGGCTCCTTCGAGGGTTCCGGGCTTCCGTTAAAGGTTCAATTTTAAAGGTTTCCTTTTCGGGCTTACGGCTTTGAAGCCGTCGTTTAGGGGGTGTAGGGCGCTTGGATGTCGGTTTGGTGTTTAGTGATGTATTGGGGCATGTATTGGGGTCTAAGGTCCCGATAGAACTATAGTAACTACACCATAGTACAATATGCCCTGAATGATTAGGGCCCCTGTGTTCTTCCGTCTTTGCCGCGCCCAGCCCAGCCCTCCGAAGGTGCAGATTCTGATTGATGCGTTCGCGCTCGGGGTTTCGGTTAGGTTGTGACTCGGGACGTAAAGTATGGGTCTAAACGCTGCGTAACACTGTTCTTTACAATATACCCCGGAACCCTAATCTGCAGAGAAAAGCTCGGTAGAATAAGTGAGGGACTGGACCATGCCTTGCGAAAGCATCAGTGAGACTCGGTGAGATGGACTCCAACGGGATCTGAGGCAGCATGCCCAGTCGAAAGGGCAGGGCATGTTGCCGGAGTCCGTTCATGAGACGGGACAGTTTTGTGCGGAAGTTTGCGGGTGCACACCTCGACTGCGCGGGCTTCCCTGCATCCTGCAAGAGCCAACGTTTAGCAAGGTCAAACGGCCTGATCAGGACATTCTAGAACTGGGCAGTAGTGCCACGGGGACTCTGCCTCAAAGGAGGATAGGCATTCCGAGTAAGCAGTGGCGACAACGATAGTACCTCGATTTCACCACGCCATGTCTCCCTAGACAGGCTCGATTTCTTGAGACAAGAAGGAGTCGTCCTGTTACAGCCTAGTCGATACACGACTGCTTTGCAGCTCTAGTGATCAAGATGAACATCTTGCTCGTAGTGTGGGACGATGATAAAGACATGTGCGCGATGATGAGGATGATGATGATGATGAGGATGAGGATGAGGATGATGATGATGATGATGTTGTTGCTGATGATGATGACGACGAATCAGAAATTACGCTGGCGACGAAGAAGATGATCTTCACCGCCAGCATTAGGAGCCCTGGAACTGGAGACCGTGAGGCTGAAAACCAGAGGCCCCTGTGTGGTTTTTCTATTCAAGATATCCCCCAAAACCCCCAGTCTCATTGTTGAGGCCCGTAGCTTCCCAGATTCTGTTTCCGCGTGGCTTGACTAGCGATCTGAAACTGTTTTTGATTCTGATTCGGACCTCAGTAACGTTAAGTAACCGGAGAAGTAATCTAGGGGAGCAAAAAATTAGGACGCACATCCCCAGACCGCACAACCCTTAGCCATAGCCGCTGCATCGCGTGGTCGCCCTTGTAGACTTTCCGCCATCCAGCGGCACGAACGTTGCTGCTGGCCTGAATCGCTTAGGACGAGCTGCCATTTAAGTGGTGCGGCTGAGCATTCGGGCAGACGACGACTTAACCCTAGAACCTGAATCATGTGTGGGTGTTGCTGGAAACAGCGGCTGGCAGTGGGATCGGTAGCAAGACCGACTTTCATGAGCAGAAGTCCGCTAAGGGAGCCTTAATCTAGACCCACTCCAGGGCCCACATCCCCTCTTAGGCGCTTGTGCTAGCCGCCAGATGAAGCATAAGCAGGCAAAGCTCTAGTTTCGGGCGCGGGCCTGCGTGAATAGTTTTGTCTCCTTGAGTTTATGTGGGATTCGAAGTACCGCAACTCGGGACCATCTCTTATCTGTTCGACAAGCCAAGTACTTCCCCAATCCTGATCCCAAGCCGAAATTGAAAGCCCAAAAACCCTGAGCTTGGCTGCTCTCTGACTTGTCTGCTCGATTGACATGCAGCTGCGCCCGCACCGGCAGCCTTCTCCATAGCTCATCGCCAGCCTTACCACTGGCGCTAGCAGAAAGTAGCTGACTTAGGTGACCTGGCAAACATGGCTGAGCCCACACCGGGCCAACTTATGCGGTCAGGGGCGGGAGGTTCTTCCCTAAACCCCAAATCCCAAACCCTAAACACCTAAACCCCTAAACCCTAAAGCTTCCGGTTCTGTTTTAGCCTTCAGTCCTTCGGATTCTGGGCTCCAGGGCCGGAGCCGTGCCTTCCCACGCCAAAGCTGGACCCCGGAGCAAGGCCCGAAGGTGTGAACTGGGTTTAGGGTTTAGGGGTTTAGGGTTAAGGGTTTAGGAGGGTTTAGGGTCCAGACTTCTCGATCATCGCTACGCTCCTCAAGCTTGCTTCCCTTCGCCCTGCATCCTAGGGCCCTAGGCCTCCTAAAAACCCCGAAGCTCAGCTCCAAAGCAGATATTTTTTTACCCTAAACCCTAAACCCTAATTTAGCCGCGGAAGCCGGGAGCCCC